GTTCAAACCCACCAGCCACTCCTCAGAAGGAAGGTTGGGCAATCTACTTCTGTAGTGATACTGCCTTGGAAACCCAAGGAGGGGTCTCTATGAGTTGGGTCCAATTTGACAGCAAATAACAACAACAACATCTTCAATATACCTACCCACAAAATGGGGGAAATAATAGTGATAATAATTCCTACCTTATGGCATTATTGTTTTTATAAGGGTTAAATCATGCATTGAGAGCACTTAATGGTGTGCCTGATACATAGTAAATGCCCAATAAACGTTAGCTAGTATTAACTGTGTCTGTTACCTGTTGGTGGTACAAACGATTAATGTGCTCAGTTGTGCTCAGCACAAGATTGGTGGTTCAGGTTCACCCAGGGGTGCCTCAGAAGAAAGGCCTGGTGATCTGCTCCTGAAAAATAAGCTATTGAAAACCTCTGGAGCACAGTTCTACTCTGACACATATTGGGATTGCCATGAATCAACTTGACGGCAACTGGGTTATCTGTCACCTGTGACTGCGCAGGTAGCAGCACGCAGCCTGGGACTCTCTTCTTGGGTCCTATTCTTAAAAAAAAAAAAAAAATCTGCTATGGGGCTTGTTTCTTTGGGGAGTCAATATGAGTAGTTAAGAGACTGGGCTCTGGAACCGTACTATCTATGTTCAGGTCCCAGTGCCTTTTTGCACAGGTTATTTAACCTCTTGGTGCTTCCATTTCCTCCTCTGTAAAATGAGGATAATAGTACCTACCTCATGATGCTGTGAGGATTAAGTGAGCTGATGTAGGTAAATCTCTAAGTGCAGCAGCTGCATGTAAAAAGACCATGATAAATGTCAGCTGCTGTTATTTGGTGACAATGAAGGCAATCATTACAGTCTGCACATAGAAGCCAGAGTTTCTTAGCAAGGGAATTGGGCCATATAACTAGATATAAACTTACAAATGACACATTTTTAGTTGAACTTGTGACTTTGTGCAAAGAACATACTAGAACTGGATGTGCTTGCCTTTCCCTTGTCTATAACTGGGTGATTACTGTTTTTTCATCAGTCCAGAACCTCCTGTCCTGCCTACCTGCCAAGAGCATGCTCCTTGAGTTAGAATAGGGTGCTGTGAAGGGATGGAGGCAAATATATACCATGAAAAGTTCAGAGTGGCCTCTGGCAGAAAGATTATTGTTACCTTTAGGAAAAAGGGATGAGAGGGAGGGGGCCTCTGAGTCTGGGATTCTGCTCTGTCCTTCCTCCTTCCCCAGCCCTCGATATCTTTTGCACTGCTTTCTGGGGTCCGGAGAAAAGCCGAGCCTGGCTTTCTTTGAACAGTCAGTGGCCCTGTTTGCTGGACAGTGAGGTTGGAAGCTGGACCAGTTGGTACCAGCCCCAGTGTCTCGAATGCTGATGCCACTTGACTCCCAGCAATAGAGCTGGAGAGTTGAGCTTTGTCCAGTGTATTAAGTGTCCCTGGTTGGGGGCAGGGGCTGGTGACAGAGCCATCACGGGATGGTCTTGATCTTTGGCCAGAACTTCCTCTTTAATCCCTTTTTCTACTCCATGGTCTATGGTCACTCCTCCATGGGAAGAAGTCTACTGTTTTGCTGCCGACCCTGAATGACTTGTGGAGCTTTTTGCTTGTGGCAGAGGAGGTGGGGCCTGCCTTACCCATTGGTTTTGGTTTCTTTGTGTGTAAAATGGAGGTGATGATATTTCACCTTGTAAGCCTTGTAAGTGAGGAAGATTCCGTGTGCTAATGCAAATTCCGTGTGCTAATGCAAATTTGGCAAAATGCATACATCAGGTGCTCAACTCATGTTTCTTCTCTTCCCTTTCTTTGTTAATGATGGAGAACACTCTTTCTGGGGGCAGGGGCAAGCTCTAAGCCAGCCAGAAGGGGGTTGGGGACCAACCTCAGTCACCAAATTCGGCCCAATGGAATACCCACCCAAACAGGATATCCTCTGGAGCAGCCAGCCTGCTGTTGCAGTCCCTCTTTTTCTAATGCTCAATGTCATGTCTCTCCTTATCTCTTATCTCACACGTACTTTGAGCCTGCAAATAGTGTCAATCTAGGAGCGCCAGCCCCATCCCTGGGTATGTGGAAATCTAGCTTCCTACTCCTGGACTCTGTTGCTACAGAGAGCTGACCACCATGATTGTGGCCCTGCCTGAATCCCAGTACTGTGACCAAAGCACATCTGGCAGGAACCCTGACTTAGCTCACCTGCCAAGGCCATCTATTGAACACCCACCCTTCTCAGGGCCTTGAGCAGGGCTGTGGTCCCTGCTTTGAAGAAGCTGATGGACTGGTTTGTGCAAACCAGAGACCGTGAGGCCCAGGTGCAATTATCCACCCCTGAGGGGGCTCTGGCAGTCAGGAGTTGAGAGAGAGAGAGAGAGGGTGGTCCTTGACAGCTGGGATTCCAGGAGCCTTCCGGGAGGTGTGAGGTTTGAGCTGGACACATTCAGGTGCAAGGGAGAGGAGGTCCAGGAAAGGGATGTACCTAGAGCCTGGTGACCACTTTGCAAGCAAAACTGAGCCCAGTGTTGATGAATTCCCCCATCATGGGCCCAGGGAGGTGT